TCATAAGGCTTCTACATTCAGTGGGCGGTTTATCAAAGAAAGTAATATCATAATGATTCCTCGAAACCATTTGGGTTAGGCAGTCGGCACAACGGTTAGCTTTTCTATAGATGTAATTAAAGGAGATCTCCCAATTCCTCATGGAGATGCTTCGAATGTTCTTTAAAATTTGTGCAAGAGGGTGGCTTTGCTCGAAATTACTTTCAATGAGGGAAAGAGCCTTCATAGAATCGAAGCAAACATTCACCTTAGTAATCTTAGCATTCCAACATATGTTAAGTCCTTTCAAAATTCCTATAAGCTTAGCTGTAGTGGTGGATTAATAATCAAGATTCTTAGTAAATCTCCTGATCCAATTCCCATGGCTGTCTCTAATAAATCCTCCACAAGAAGCTGCTTCATTGTGTTTGACTGAGCCATCAACTTCAAGTTTAAACCATCCAATTTTTTTGGTGGATACCATTTAGCTTTATATTTGGAGTCGGTTCTGTTTAAAAAATCAACTTTAGCTTAGAGCTTCATGTCATTGATAATTTGGTTGGTACTAAAAAAGCGATGTCTTTTTTCGCATTTGTATGTTCTGAATAAATTTTTTTGCATCTTGCTTTTTAGATGTTCGAGCAAGCATAAGCAAACAGTTTCTGCCAAGGCAATCTTTGTATGGACAAGGTTCCAGCTTTGTTTTTTACATTTTAAATTATCCAATCCTGCATAAAAAGAGAAAAGAAGATATCACTTTTGGATGGATTAACTAATTTTTTCCAAACCTCCTTAGCATCTTTACAATTACATAAAATGTGAATAAAAGAGTCAGGAGAATTACAACCAAATGTTGTATTGTTAACGTATGAATTTTGTCATATTATATATAGACATTTTGTATATTATTATTTAACCAAATTATACAAATTATATATAATGAACAGATTTTATGTCATTAATTTATAAATATTGTTACGTTACATACAAATATTTTATTATATATAAACTTAAAAAAATTGTACATTTTAATCGAGGAGCAAATGAGTTCTTTTATTATAAAGCATACTTGTATATACGGCTTTTGGCCCGCGAAATCAATTCAAAATGTTGCACATTTCTTTGATTTGGGACCAGAAGTGCCATTCTCCCATTTTAAAAAGAAGAAAAATGTGCGCGTGTCAGATTGATTGCAATTGTGGCTGTTTCTGGGCGGCAGACTTTTGAGGTTGGAAAGTCCTTCATAAAAGTGCCCTAAAACATCCAAATTATGTAGTGCAAACCCAAAAACAAAACACGCTTTAACCTTTTTCTTTTTAGCTTATTTTGGGCCGTCCATCTAATTCATCAGATTATAGGCTCAATAAGTAACATAATAGTGTATCAACACTGTCCAAAACTCCAAGTTATAGGCCCAATAAGGAATATACGAAATATTTCACTAAGACGATAACTTGGGACGCCAGGGTTGGGTTCTCGCCTCCCTTGCATTGCATGTCTTTTAAGTCTTATATTTATTATCTATCTCTAATTTTTTTTTGAAATACAAGGGCACAAAAAACAGTACCAAAAAAAAAAGATCAAGTCATGTCAGAAATCATACAATTTAATAATTTATATACCTAGAGAGGGCTAGTCAAAAATTGTAGTATTAAAATTATTATTAGAAACATGTTGAGCAAGCCAATCCACTCATCTATTAGCTTATCTATATGTGTATTCGAAGGCGATCGTCTAATTTTTCACCGCAAGATCCTTGATTTTGTTAACCATATTTATGAGGGGATGGCTCAAGTTGAAGTTATTTTAAATGAGTCTGAGAGCTTTAAGAGAATCCGAATAAATATTTACTTTGAAAAAAAGACACGTACAACATAAGTTGATATCCTTGAGAATATCCAAAAGTTCATTGACAGTGCTTGGATAATAGTTAAAGAATTTAGAGAAACCCTTTAACCAGTTTTCTTAATTATCGCAAATGAGACTTTTACAAATAGCAACTCTTTTACAGTTAATTGAACTGTTAATATCAAGTCTCATATAACTAAGATCAAACAACATTCATCTTAAGTTATTGTTTATTTTTATTTTGTTGTATTTTATAACAGAGTGATATGGAAATGGAACTTTTGTTTGAGGATGCTCAAGCCTGTATTTTTCTTGTATACTTGTTTATACTTTAATTTTCTTGTTTATTCAAGAAACCCTGCTTGCCTTGTTTTAGATTCTTTATTTAAAGAGTGGCCCCCGGCATCATTTATAGTTTTTTTTTTTTAATAACTTATATGCTTAAAGATAGTTACTTGAAAGAGGAAAGCTAATTCAATTGCTGACCGGATCACTGAGGCTTCTTCAAAAGAATTGCTCGCCGAAGACTGCGTCCTCAGACGTTCAATCCATCTTCAACTTCTTTTGGATTCTTATATTAAAAACAATTTTGTTGTTGGTTAATATTGTTATGCTTCCTTTGTTTTTGGTTTTTCTGGACTTTGTGTTCACTCTTTTAGTGGAAGTATATTTTATTGGGAGAATTGCATTGCAGCCCTAGAATGGACAATATTCACATTACAGGTTCAACAAAATATGATTATAATTCTTTAGATTCAAATGCCTCTCTTACAATTATTTTTTTTTTGGGTGAAAAAACGAAATTGCCGTTTTGTGAGATAAATAGACCTTTTGTTGCAAATAAATAAATTATAATTGTTATTTATGAACATTTTGTTGTAAAATTCATTTAAATAACTTATAAATTTTCTCTCTTTCAACAAATGTAAACCACGTAGATTATGTAAAATGAACTGACATTTTGTGATTAATAAATGAAATTTAAATATTATTTAAGAAGCTTCTGTTGTAATTAGATGATTTATAAATTTTTTCTCCTTCAACAAATGTAAACCAAATAGAGTATGTAAAATGAATAAATATTTTATTAATAAATAAAATTTAAATGTTATTTATAGACATTCTATCACGTATTTTACAAAGAAGCTTTTCAGTTTTTTCACCAAAAACAACTTAATTTAAAAAGAAGACTTTAGACTTGCAAAGTTATATCAGATCCTATTGAGCCTTTAATGCAAATATATCAATATATATATAAACAAATCTTGTAAAAAGCATCTCATTGGTTAGATTTTGAGCCTTCTTATTGGTCGTTTTCTCTTAACTAAAATTTAATTATCTTCTCCCATTGGTTCAATGAATTTTTCATGTGGCCCCACCTATTTTTAATTTTAAATTTTAAACTGTAATTCACAATATAAACGGTAGCATTAACTAACTCCATTTTTCTCCATCCATGGCTCATGTTTGTTGCATTTTCTCATGTGTTTTGGTTTTTCTTTTCAAGGCATCTTATCTCATCATCATCAATATCAATATATATACAATTTTTTTAGCTTCAATCTAATTGATAAAAAAAAAATTGACTCTCACTAACTAATAGATTTTAGGCTAATGTTAATATAAAAATTTCTCTTGATTCATTAATGAGGTTTAATTTATTTTTCTATTTTTCATGTATTTTTAGTCTACTTTCACGGGAGCATTAATTCAAAAATAGTCTCATTTTTAAATTTTTTTGATCGTTAGCATTAACTCCATTTTGCTATCTTTCTCCATTCGCTATACTTTTTCATGCCTTTTTAATTTTCTTGATCAATAGGATTTAATTTCTTTTCCTATTTTCTATGCATTTTCCTGATTTGTTGTATTTAATATCAATCAACTCTCATAAACTATCATCCATAAATATTATCTGTAAAAGAAAAAAAAATAAAAAGAAGTTTAAGTTTGATTTGATTTATCAATCCTTATCTTGTGATTTTAATCCTTCAAACTGTGGATGTTTTACCATATATTTTATGCTGACATGATAACATGACGACTATTTAAATACTTTAACCAGACTTGAGTGATAAATGTATCTTTTTTATAGCTCTTTTATTTTGCACATAAAAAAAGAGAAATAGGAACAAAAAATACAAAAGAATATAATACAATAAAAAAAAGGGGAATCCATTTAGATTCTTTTTATATCCATATTTTTTAGAATATAATTTATGTCATAATTCATGAACTAATATTTAATTTTTTTACATAATAAAAAACGAGGGGTTATTGAGAATTTTAAAGAAGCATTCTTTTTTTGGGCTAATATTTTTTAAGCATTTTAAAAATAGATATTTTTTAGATAGGTTTTTCATTATAGGCCCGAGAAATAAAGACAAGATATATACAAATAAAGTATTTAAGAAAAAAAATAATTAAACAAAGAAATTCTTAAAAATTTAGCCATCTCAAATGCATTGATATCAATGATATCGATGATATTTGTTCCAAATTTCTTAATTCCAACTTATGTAATGCACGTGATACTATCTAGTTATATCTAGTTAATTCAAAAAGCTACAACGTGATTCTCCCTTTTTTCTTTGTTAGCAAAAATATTACTATATAACAAACTCTAATTATTAATATTATTAAGGGTTAATGAATATCCTAAACTCTAAATTATTACGTGAATAGCATTCTCAACTCTAAATTCTTAAAATGTGCAAAAATTCTACCTAACTTATAAATTTAAAGTTTCTAAAATCTCATTATTAAATTGAAAAAATCAGCTATTACTTTTACAATTATAAAACCTAATCATATGCTAATGTGACATTTATCTTGTACTTTAAAACTAATAGCTGTTTTTTCAAACTTAATGAAAAGATTCTAAGTGCTCAAAATTTAAAAATTAAAAAAAACTTTTGTACATTTTTAAAATTCCTGATCCACAATGCCATTCACATAATAGTTTAAGAATTAAAATGTTTATTAACCTTATTATTAATACTTTATAATACAATATATATGTTTTGATTTAATTGAATAAAAATATATAAAGTTTACTTACTAAGCCTTCTCCATATATTTTGTAAGGATAATGAAATAATGACAAGGGCTTGCTAAAGTAATAAATTTTCTTTTTTGCCAACATAGAGCAATCGAAAATGAAACTTCTAAGATCAAAGAAAGAGATAATAATGTAACTTGTACCCAGTTCAATCACTAGAAGAACAGCACCTTAAAAAAGAGGAATTTGGGGAATAAAAGCGCCATAAAGCAAGTCCCAAAAATAATGGACAAAAATTTGTCGAAGGCTAAACTTCTAACTCACCCCATAATACAGCGTCCAGGCTACACTGACAATCAGAGCCAACTACCAAATTAACTCGAAATTCGGCCTTGCTGTGCATAACAAGTTATCAAATCAGAGAATGGAATAAGAAAGACTCAAGACTCAGGTGTATGCACAATAGGCAGACAAGCAATTGTAAAACCCGAGGATCAATTTACACGCCAATAGTTCTTGAAGGCAGAGACTGTCTTTGACTTCTACTAATAGGGAGGTGAACATACACCTCATGAACCTCTTGTTTACAAACCTCTCCTTTGTCCCTGTCTACGGCATAGCACACATAAACTGCTTCAATCACGTTGTCTAGTACATGCACGAAGAAACCCAGAACTAGTATCAGTAGCAGCCAAGCCAGCGCAGCCACAACATATGAATAAACCCCAAGATCGGTCACAGCTTTTAAGATTGCACAGACCTGCTCATTCACAAACCGTTGACATATCCAAAGAAATCAGAAAGAATAATGAACTAGAAGCTAAACACCAAAATACTAAATATATAGGTAACAAAATCCAGTTATATGGTTGACTCGCCTATTTATTCAAATCCCTAGAAAATCTGTCCTTGGACATTAAATTCAAAAGGCCAAAAATAAAAACAACAGAAATGAAATTGCAGGCACCTCGAATGTTCCAATTGTTGAAGTATAATGGGCTTTGTGTATTATTAGTATGCGACACGTGATTGGTTTGTATGGCCACACATGATTAGAAGTCTGTTAGCTAGATGGTTAGTCAAACAGTTTGAGTAGTTTTGATTGTGATTCAGTATAAAAGAGGGTTGATATACTTCAAATTCAGTTCAGCAACTTGAAATGATACGATCCAGAGTATCTGAGACTTAAGAGCAGTTTCCAGCGCCAATAAGGCAATAACCTCCCCCTCGCCTCAAAGGTAAAAGAAAAAAAATGAAAAATCTAGAAGGTAGTCATAATTTTGGCCTGCCATGTGAACGCTGTTGATGTTTAAAATTGATCAAGGATATATTCTATTCAATAACATTCTACATCTATAGGATATAACCATCCGACTGCTATAATGAAGCAAGGAAATCTGAATTTCAGGCACCAACAAAACCTGTTGAAACATCACTTATAGTATAAACTGAATCACGGTAACAAAAATCTGGTCCAAAGCATACGTCCAAAAGAAAGTAGTAATATTGAAGCGCACCACAATCGTGTATATTGCTGAGAGGACAAAGACAATTCCAACCAAGAGACGGGATGAGATGGTCTCCACAAAAACAGCTGAGAGAAGATTACGTCTCAGAAGCTCATATGTCATCCTTGCAGATGAGCAGTATGCTTCACCAGTTATTGCAGCAAAGTTGATGGTAAACTTGTTAAGAAAATCTACTGCAGTCAGCAAGGCATTTACACAACATCGTAATACAAGGTTCACTATCCCAACTGCATCTTCATGTCTTGCACTATCAACAGCAGCTCGCACCATTCGGACAATACAGATAAGCAAACCTGACAAACATATGGTGCCAGATGAAGGACCAAATGCATTTCTGCAAGGCAAACTCATAGTTAACATCTTACCAAATGCAAAGCTATCATCTCTCTTAGTTGAATGATAACTTTCTCCCCCCCCCCCCCTCCAAGGACTAGGCTAAGGGGAATAACCAAATTTGGAAGCAAGATACATCACAGATATTGTCCACCTCCCGCTATTGACATAACATTAGAGTTAGAGTGAAGTACATGTTGATGGGTAAACAACTATCATTTTGAAACTGTAATGGAAGTGTTGGGCCCAGGGTTATGTGAATTTTGACAATAACAAATATTAAAATTTTAATTAACAAATATTTTCTAATGTAGATTTACGTGAATATGATTCTATGATTATTTCATCATGTGATCAATTGACTTGAATAAATCATGACCAGATTATGTGCACTAATAAGCATGATAGGCGAAGAATACTAGATTGGAGGACTGACTATCTAATTAGAACCATGAAAGGAAAAAGAACGTTTCTTGGTTAAAGCAGATAAAGATCGAGCATTGATGTTAGACAGCTCAGTCTCAATGGTCAAATGGAGTCAAGTATAAAACAAAGATGAAGAGTTGAAGACAACTGATCAAGCACGAAAACTCTCTAAACTTACATTGAGTTGCTTGAAAATCTTGTGTCGTGTGAACTTCATTGTAAAACTGTATGGCTAGTGAGAGCTTAGTTTAGGTGTTGTCAGGTTATCTTATGTTCTGAACTTGTAAGAAAACTCCAAGTCTATTATAAGCGTGAGTCCATTTTTATGTTAGCTGAAACCTAGCTGAGTAGTCGGAGAGTTTGACAAAACTATCTATTGTGATTGACTTTGATACAACAACAACAAGCCTTTATCCCACTAGGTGGGGTCGGCTACATGGATTGCAAGATGCCATTGTGCTCTATCATTTATTAAGCTTTTAGAAATATTATTAATTAAGAGATCACGTTCAACAACTTCCAAGAGTGTTCTCTTAGGCCTTCCTCTACCTCTCTTAATCGGACTCAAAGTTATATGTTCCACTCTTCTCACTGGTGCCTCCCTTGGTCTTCTTTGTACATGCCCAAACCATCTCAACCGATTTTCTACCATTTTTTCCTCAATAGGTGCCACCCTCACTTTTTCACGTATGTGCTCATTTCGAATTTTATCTTTACGTGTATGTCCGCACATCCATCGTAACATTCTCATCTCTGCTACTCCAACTTTATGCTCTTGCTGTCCCGTTAGAGCCCAGCATTCACTACTATATAACATTGCCGGTCTGATAGCAGTACGATAAAACTTTCCTTTAAGTTTATTAGGCACCCTACGGTCACAAATAACTCCTTTAGCTTTTCTCCAATTAAACCACCCAGCTTGAATTCTATGTGAAATATCTCCACTGATTTCGCCATCATTTTGAATAATGGCTCCCAAATATCTAAACTTTTCCACTTGAGGTATAATTTGATCTCCCAATTTCACTTCGAAATTATTTTCGAATAGTCCTTTACCAAATTTACAATATAAATATTCCGTCTTACTTCTACTCAGACGAAAACCTTTCGACTCCAATGTCCTCCTCCATAACTCAAGTTTGCAATTAACCTCTTCTCTTGTCTCTGCTATAAGAACTATATCATCCGCAAAGAGCATACATTTCGGGATTTCCTCTTGAATATGTTCCGTCAAAACATTTAAAATCAAGTTGAACAAATAAGGACTCAGAGATGATCCCTGATGTAGTCCAATCTTTATAGGAAAATCCTTTGTTTGACCACTAGGCGTTCTTATACTAGTTTTTACCCCCTCATACATATCTTGTATGGCTTTAATATAAGCAATCCGTACTCCCTTTTTTTCCAACGCTTTCCAAAGCACTTCTCTTGGTATACGGTCATAAGCTTTTTCCAAATCAATAAAAACCATGTGTAGATCTTTATCTTTACAACGATACTTTTCCATTAATCCCCTTAGTAGATAAATCGCCTCTGTAGTTGATCTACCTGGCATAAAACCAAATTGATTCTCAGAAATACTTGTCTCCAATCTCAACCTGTGCTCAATTACTTTCTCCCACAATTTCATTGTGTGGCTCATGAGTTTAATCCCTCTATAGTTAGTACAATTCTGAATATCTCCTTTATTTTTATAAATAGGAATTAATGTACTTCTCCTCCACTCATCAGGCATTTTCTTGGACCGTAAAATCACATTAAATAACTTAGTTAACCATCTCACCCCTTCTTCACCTAAACATTTCCACGCTTCGATAGATATACAATCAGGTCCGTTAGCTCTACCATTTGCCATTTTCTTAAGAGCTTCCTTTACCTCCTTATCACGTATTTTTCGATAGAATGACAAATTTTGTTCTCCTTCACCAGTTACTAAATCCTCCAAGTTACTAGATGAATCCTCTCCATCATTGAAAAGTTTAGAAAAATAAGTCTCCCATCTATTTTTAATTTCATCATCTGTAACTAAAATTCTTCCCTCTTCATCCTTAATACACCTTACCTGTTCTAGATCTCTTGATTTTCTTTCCCTACTCTTGGCAATCTTATAAATATTTTGCTCTCCTTCCTTCGTCTCAAGGTTCTTATAAAATTCTTCAAAAGCTTTGGAACGAGCTTCACCCACAGCTCTCTTAGTTTCCTTCTTAGCCATACGGTACCTCTCCCAATTTTCCTCATTGTTACACAAATGTATGGCTTTAAAACAGTTCTTCTTATACTTGATTTTGTCCTGTACACTATTATTCCACCACCAAGACTCCTTATCTCTCGGACCAGAACCTTTCGATTCTCCCAAAACTACTTTTGCAACCTCCCGTATCTTTTTAGCCATATCCTCCCATATGATGTTAGCACTTCCCTGAGAATCCCAAATTCCTTTATCCAAAAGATTTTGCTTGAAAATATCTTGCTTCTCACCTTTTAATTGCCACCACCTAATCCTTGGTGTTACTACTTGTCGACGTTTTTGGATTTTACTCATAATACACACATCAAGGACTAGGACCCTGTGTTGTGTCGTTACAGCATCTCCAGGGATCACCTTACAATTTTTACAAAGTTTTCTATCTGTGTTCCTAACCAAAAGAAAATCAATCTGCGACCTTGAGGCTCCACTTTTGTAAGTGATGAGATGCTCATCTCTCTTCTTGAAACAAGTGTTGGCAATTTTAAAATCATATGCCAATGAGAAATCAAGAAGAGTTTGCCCTTCATTGTTTAGCTCTCCAAAACCAAAACCACCATGCACCCTCGCATACTGACCAGCTTCCCTCCCGACATGCGCATTAAAGTCTCCTCCAATAAAAATCTTTTCACTCTGTGGTATGTGTCGAATCAACCCCTCCAGATCCTCCCAAAATAATTCCTTAAGACTGGCTTCTGTCCCGACTTGCGGCGCATAAGCGCTAACAATATTAACAGTCTCACGTCCAATTATCATTTTTAAAGAAATAATTCTGTCTCCAATTCTGCTAACTTCTACAACGTTCTTCTTCCACTCCTTATCTATAATGATGCCTACTCCATTGCGTGCACTTACTTTTCCTGTATACCAAAGTTTGAAACCTTGAATATCCTTAGCTCTTTCTCCACGCCATTTTGTTTCTTGCAAGCAAAGGATATTGATTTTCCTTTGAATCATAACCCCTACAACCTCTACAGATTTACAATTTAATGTCCCAACATTCCAAGTACCAAATCTAATTTTGCTCTTATGGACTAACTTCTTTAGCCGCGTGCGTCCAGAATGACGATATAAAGCACAAATCTCTAAAGTATTCTCAAGGGAATTAAACGAAGGTAATGGGGCCAAATCAAGATAAATTTCGTTGGGTTATTACCCTTCTACTCACTGCCTTTGTAATGGAGAACTATCTCTCACCTCTCTCTAGGTGATATTTCAGAAAGGGCGCAATGTTATATGAGTTAACAGTTCCTAGCCCCTTCACAAATCAATCTGGAACAACTCCCCATCCAAAAGAGTTCAATTTGCAAATTAATTTAACCTATTTGACTCTAGACTGTGAAGGTGTATTGCACAGGGCGAGGGAGCTTGATATGATACTTCTACAATGAAAGAAGTCAAGGAGAGAACATGGTTAGGGACTCAGGGTAGCAACACGAAATAAATCATTAAGACTGTTTCTACTTTGTACCCTGCCTACGTATTAGGGCACGCTGAAATTGTGTCACATATCAAGCTATTTTATCTAACAAGTACGTTCATGTCAATGGACTCAAGCTGGACAACTTGACTATTACCAAACATCATATAGTTAAGTATCTCATGATCCCAGTCTAGAAATGCTCATAATGGAAAACTATAAGCAGCTGAAAAGCAACAAAAATCACAAAGATGAGCAAACATGTTCACCTTAGAGAACTTCTTATACTCTTTCTTGGAGCTCCATCCTCCTTGGAGAAATACCACTGTGCGATTGTGCCACTGATCACATAAACCTGTGCTTCAACCATAATTGTTGCGGACCACAACATCGTGAGAATTGCCAACGCAAAATAAGCGGGCACCCAGCTATCCTGCTTCCAAACGCAAGTATATTTACCACTCGATTCTTTGGCCACAATATCACCATTGAATCTCGCAAATATCAAAAACACGACAACCGGAGCATAATAGATAGCCAATCCAAGAGTCAAACAGGGCAGTGCCACAAACAAACCCAAATTCCTCGAAAGCGCGTCGGAAGCAACCCCAATAATTCTTACAGTGAGCTCAATCCGATGCCAATTGACCACGAAGATCCACACAATCACCCCAATAATTAAGAAGACGAACACGAGGACTAAAATTCTATATGCCAGGGGAACGCATCGCTGCAAGTGGAGCTGACAGTGCAAGCAACGAACCAATACACATTCAAAAAAATCGGGACAGTGATGAAGAATGGGAGGGAAACATACACAATCTGTTTGGTGTAATACTTCAGCAACAAAAGAAGACCGAAGCATATGGGCACGCTCAGGATCAGGGTAGCAACGAGGGTCCATATCAAATCTTCCGGAACATGAGAAGACGAAGAATTAAACAAATCCCAATTTGCAGACGACAGGGCATCCTTAACGCAGGAGGAAGAATTGTAATTGTAAGTGTAAGAAGAGACAGTGGAATAGTTGGAATTCCTATGAAAGATGGCGAAGATGCCGAAACCAAAGGTGCAGAGAACGAGGAGAAGGAAGAGGATTAAGAAAGGGATGTCCTTGAAGGAGCGAGGACCGTGGTTGTAACAGATTTGGAGATACTGGGTCGGGTCGGATTCGCTGCGGGGCGGTTCATCGATCGGAGAAGGGAAAGATGGTTTGGAGAGGAGAGGCTGCGAATGAGAAGGCGAGGAGGAGGAGGAGGAGTCATGGAGGGAAATGGGTTTGTTGGGGTCCTCGCTACTACCCATGAGCGACGGCAGGGCAACAGGGTTTGAATCAATCGTCGGAGGAAGAAGAAGAGAGGAGATTAGATGGCTCGCCGAGGTGCCATTTTCAGGGTTGACTAAGGCTCAGCAGAGAAGAACAGCAGTTGTGTGAGAATCTGATGACCACTGTTCTCTGATCTTATCACTTCCCATCACAATTTAATACATGGACGGCATTAATTATTTCTACTCAGCAGAAACGAAACTATAAGCCTCTTCCTCAGGATTCAGGAATCACCATCCATAACCTTTTCTAGTTTAATTTATGGCCACTTTGATTTTCCGAAAGCGAATAATTCATCTCGTCTCGTACATTTTTTAATTGTCATAAAACAATTTTTATTTTTATTTTTAACATATAAACGAAACAATTAATTTTTTTATTTTTAATTATAAATGCCAAACATGTCTTTAAGAAATAAACTAGAATGTTGTTGGCAAAAAAATTAATAATAATAAAATAGGATGTTAAAGAAATGTTAGGTATTAGTATTTATTACTGATTTGATTAAAAAAATCAGGGGACAAACAAATTTCTTGGTTAAAACTTAACTTATTTCTCTGAAAAACATTGGACGCCTTCAATAATTGGGAAAAAAAATCACTTTTTATTAGTTGTGAACGACATTGTTACATTCCTTTTTAGTTTTTATGCCCCCCGCTGACATTCCAAGTTAAAGTAGCTGTTTTGATAGAAACTTCCGCACCTACAAAGGAAATTTTAAAAAATATTTCATGATGATTGAGAAATTTAAAAAAGTTAAAGTAGTTGTTTTAGAACAATGAACTGGAGTTTTTCATGAGAGCCACAGCCCCCGGGGCTGAAGACTTGAAGGCTTTTCTACTTTTTTTCTCATTCTCTGGTGCCTCAGAACATTCATTCATGATCTGATTTCATTTGAGACTCTGATGTCGTGAATCCATATTGGGAAGTCTTATTATTGAAGCAAAGCCTATGAGTGTGAGAGATTCCTCCACCCAACATGCTTTACAAAATTTTAAATTAATTATTATTATTGCAAAGCACATGGTTTGATATCAACGTCTGGCGGGGCACTTTGGATGTCAAGCCAGCTCAAGGTCAATAGTTTGCAACTCTTCCTGATTAACACAATTGCTTGGTTATATATTTTTCTCCTCTCAAGATTAGTTTGAACCATTTTTTAGTTTTAATTCCATTAGTAACATGTTGTATTTGTTTATTTGTTTTAATTCCATTAGTTTGAATTACTTTGGAGAACAATTCACTTACTTATTTTATTTGTTTATGGACATTATTTCACTTGAATATATATCTTTATGTGAAGTTCTAGCTTGATAAAATGTGAGTCACATGTTGTATTCAATGTATTGTCTATTTTTAGTAGGTTATAATACATTATATTTGTTTTAATTTTCTTCTTTATCAAATTTCAGCCGTTTTAAATTGCATAAAATATTATTATAACAGTTGAATAAAAATAATATAATAGATCTTATAAAAAAATATGTTAACATCATATTACAAAAAATAATATAAAATTTTATTAAATGTTAATAGTTACGATTAGGCATGCTTTAATTTCTTTTTCAACAAAGTGAGAAAGATTATAAACATACAACAATGTGAAAAAAAAAAAAACATGACATCTTCAAAAAGATATGATTAATTTAAAAAAATAATTATTTTATTAAGAGGTAAAATTTAATTAAAAAAATTTTATATTTTTAAATGGAAGGAATATGTTAAGTACTTAAATTGATGGTTTTTTATGAACAGTTTGCTGCGGACGCCCAAACAAATGGTCCAAAGCGACCCATTTTTAACTGTCTAACTCGTAACTAACCACCTACCCCTACCTCTGCGCTTGACAGTTGTAGAAGAGGTGTCGCATGGAGTTGGTCGCGGGAAGGCGAGACGACGCGGCTATGGGAGAAAGCAAGCATGGATCTACAGTCAAAGAAATCGGCCATCTGAGATCAGATAGGATATGAAGTTGAAGCTAGAGCCAAAAAGTAGATGATCAGGTCAAGCTAAAACCATATTCTAGTAAATAATAACCAAGCTAAAGCCATTTCCTTAGATATGAATTGTCAATTTGCAATGAAATGGGGGTACTTTGTTTTTGTATATCTGTAGATTTGGCCATTGATTCCATTAACCGGCCAAGCTAAAGCCATATTCATCAATTCATGGACGATCAGAATATTAATATGGGGATGAAGCTCAAAATGGGTTTCTTGCAGTTAGATTTTGACTGGTATGCATTTAAAGCTTTTGTGATTCTTCTTGTATTTGCATGTTTGGATTTGTGTGTTATATTTTCACTTGAGAGTGAGGATGCTTGATCGAAGTTTTATCATTTTTTTTTTGAGTTACATTAAATTTTTACACAAAAAAATAATTATTATAAAATTTATTAACAACCGAATTATGACAATACAATAATTTAAGTTCAGTTGTTAAAGAAACTTAAAATAATAATTTTTTTTGTGTCTAAAACCTGTGTATAACTTTTCCTTTTTATTCTTGCAAGTTGTGAAGAAGGAGAAGAGAGCAAGACATTTGATTGGTTGAGGAAGGAGATTAAGATGACGTGGGGCGTTGTTTGAAAAGTCAAGAGTGAAGAAAACAAATAAAAAAACAAGTCGACAGCATTGTATGGGACCCACTTGACAAAGTTAACACCGTTCGGTCGTTCGTTAAGTTGAGCAAAGATTGTAATGTTTTGAAAAATATTATGATGATATTGTGACTTTAAATATTTTAAAATATTAATTATATCTCTAGAAAAACTTTAGAATATATTTGTACTTTAACCTTATTTTTTTGCCTTGAGATGAGAATGTGGTGAGGTTCCCTTGCCTTTCTCTTCTACGACAACATTTTCTCATTTTGTTTATTATTATATTTTTGAGTTTATGTTTCATTTGTTTAAGTTAGCTATATCTTTCAATGGGTTTATCATTTTAGTGTCCGTGCTAAGCTTTGTGAATTTGTTCGCTTTGCTTTTGTTTTTTTGTGTGTTATATCGCTGTGTGCATTTCTTCGTCGTTATTATATCATGTTAAATAATACCTAAAAAAATCCATTGCAAATGAGATCTTATAAAATACAATAAAAATGATAATAATAATAAATTAACATGTTAAAAACAAAGAGGATATCGGATTAAAGAAAATATTTCTAGGATGAGCATGTGTTTGGATATATTTCAGTTCAAGATAATTTATATAATTAATTCCAAAGAATTAGAATTTATAATTATAACTCGCGCTTCCTGAACAGAGTTGAGAAACTTCTAAATCAATCTTGCAAAAGTCGTCAGCAATTCTCACACCTAATGCATCATTCATCACATTATATAATTACAAGTAATTTACTTTCGTTGTATTTGATACACTAAACAATCAACAGTCTACAAAATAAGATTATCACATTCCATGCGCTCACCCAAGAAACACAAACAACATCAATTTTTATATAATAAAAGGCACAAACATCTTCTACATAACTCATTTGACCAATTCTCACATGTCTCGCATGGCGCGGGACAAATCTAGTTTTTGTTATAAAAAAAAATCATGATAGAATCATTCGTTTAAATTTTATAAAATGAAGGTCTAGGGTCATAATTTGGTAATTCTGTAGCTTCGTATATACCTGACATTGAGGATGAACATAAAAATGTACTAGATTTTTTCATTACAATATCAGGTAATGGCTAGGTCTTAAATCAAGCACAAGAAGTTCTTAATCCATCTTTTTGCACCTGGAGATGTAAAAATTCAACTCTCTAAATAATCGGCTACCAAAACTACATCAGTTAAAATTCCTAATATTTGTTGCAACACAGAAACACGTGATAGAAGTCTTCATCCGGCACATGAGGGAGAAGGATACCTCCTTTTTTAATGACGAAAAGAATCCATCAAGAGGGGGAAAGAACACGAAGATTTATAAGGATGTGAAACCCTCTTAATTAAAACCAGCATTAATTCTATGAAATAGGGTTGGGGGGAAAAAGTGACTATAGGAGCTTCCCAATTTTCTGGGAAACGAGGATATATATCTTATTTAATTAATGATGCAGCAATGACTGATATTTAACTTGTTATAAAGAGTAGTTTTACTTTTTTTTCTCTGTATCTTAATTATCATGAGCAGTATTGATGTGGTGCTCATGGATCATGAGGCAGCAGCCAAGTTTCTGCCTTCCTTTGCCAGAACACAACCATATTTAATCAACTACCAAGTAAATGGATGCAGAATTTTAAGTAACAATGGGAACTAAGAAGTGAAAGGAGATCCATGAGGTTTATCATTTTGGCTGATTCCTGGCTTGGAGAAAGCTTCAGTATAGGTTATACAATATACAGGCAAAGTATGATGTCGATATCCAATCTGGACACAGAAAGTCACAATCTGAAAGCTTTAAAAGCTAACAAACGCTTGTTAACACAGCTTCGATATGATAAGGAAGTATTCCTCATTATCAACTGTGAATTTCTCACAGGTTATTGTTTCGTCATCATCTAGCGTGTCGTGTTTAGCAAGTTGGACTATCTACAGGAAAATGAAACATTCAGTTATATTATGAATGGACAATACTGGAAAACCGCTGTTACATATGCTACGGTTCCAACAAGAATTGCAACAACCGCTGCTGTAAGGTTTACACTTAACCCATCATGATCAATTTTCTTAATTCTATTATGTATGGCGTGAAATCAGTGATTGTGAGATATGCAAGGAGAAACAATACTATTGTCCTGACAATACTATTATCATACCACTGAAAAAAAAAATTCAGTCTTAAAAAACATGATTTTTTTTTTGTTTTCACAATAAATCTCATGAAATTAACTTAAATACTAAGAACTTTCAAGATTTGAAAAAACATATTTGCAATCCTACATCACATGTCTAGTTATCCATGTCTAACGTAAGTTCATATAGTTGGTGCAATAATGGCTATATATAATTTTATTAAAAAAATTACAACTAATTTTGACTTTAGTTGTTTTGAGATTAATGAAAATATGATTAATTCTCACAATGATAGTAACAACCATGCATCTCTATCATCAATTTCAAGTGCAGCTTCTGATAAAGAGATAAATAGAATCTGCAATTCAATTAGTGACCAAATTGTACATTATAAATTGAATAATTAATTATGTTAATTTTTAATATTAATGAATATTGGGCTATTTATTATAT